TCTAGGCCATTGCTCTATCTGCTAGGCCACACTTTTTCCTTAAAGCCCCAGCTCTTGGAGTCATATGATTATATGAGAGTCTCAGTTTGTTTAAAAAAGAAAAAGAAAACTAAGTTTCTAGCCCTCAACATGAAGACAGGACCCCAAAAGGCTCAGAAACTGGATGGCAAATAAAAAAATCCCCATTTTAAAAATAAAATCTCTCAATTCTTAAGCCAATCTCATAATTGTTGAGGGATGTGGGGGTCTGATACATGATTTTGAACACTGGGGGCAGGCAGTGTTGAATTCTTATCTGCAGCTTGTCTCAGCCTGCCTTGTCTTTGTAGATTGTCAGCTCTTCAGGGCAGGGGCCATCTCCTGTTCTACAGCCCCTATCCTGCAAAGATTTAGATCTGTGTTCCCACCACACACTGGGGTTATGAAGTTAATGGGTCTACTCCTAGCACATAGCTTTAAACACATGCATCGCTCTCTGGAGGATCAGAGGCAATGTTTGCATAGCACCCAACACGCAGGGCACCAATGTTAGCTGATAAACCAGAGAAGAAATACAACAAAACTACCCTTGCCTAACCATGATACATCTTACATAAACCCCCTGAACGAGATGTTCTGAGCCACAATGGCAGCACCAGGACAAAAAGTTCAAGCAAATCAAGCTCTTCACTCACCACTGAAAACATATTATACAAACTAATGAATCTGCACCAATGGGCCTCCTAGGAGCTTCAAAGCTGCAGTGATCGACTTTGTATCAGAAAACTAAAAATACCTTCTCTGGTAAATCTTTGTTCTCTGAAGAGTCGACGTCTCTCAGTTGGCTGACTGAAGTTTTAAAGAAATGGCTATGTTGGGACACTCCAGTGAAATCATGGACTGAGTCTATTTTCTCTTTAAAAAAACAAATAATAGAATTATAGAACATTAGGGTATGAAGAGACCTCAGGAAGTCATCTAGTGCAATCCCCTGCTCAAAGCAGGACCAACCCCAACTAAATCATCCCAGCCAGGGCTTTGTCAAGCCGGGCCTTAAAAACCTCTAAGAATGGAGATTCCACAACCTCCCTAGTGAAATAGTGTTTCCAAATATCCAACCTAGACCTCCCACACTGCAATTTGAGACCATTGCTCCTTGTTCTGTCATCTGCCACCACTGAGAACAGCCGAGCTCCATTCTCATTGGAACCCCCCTTCAGGTAGTTGAAGGCTGCTATCAAATCCCCCCTCACTCTTCTCTTCTGCAGATTAAACAAGCCCAGTTCCCCAGTTCAGCCTCTCCTCATAAGTCATGTGCCCCAGCCCCCTGATCATTTTCGTTGACCTCCGCTGGACTCTCTCCAATTTGTCCACATTCTTTCTATAGTGGGAGGCCCAAAACTGGATGCAATACTCCAGATGTGGTCTCACCAGTGCTGAATAGAGGGGAATAATCACTTCCTTCAGTCTGCTGGCAATGCTCCTACTAATGCAGCCCAATATGCCATTAGCCTTCTTGGCAACAAGGGCACACTGCTGACTCATATCCAGCTTCCCATCCACTGTAATCCCCAGGTCCTTTTCTGCAGACCTGCTGCTTAGCCAGTCAGTCCCCAGCCTGTAGCAGTGCATGGGATTCTTCCGTCCTAAGTGCAGGACTCTGCACTTATCCTTGTTGAACCTCATCAGATTTCTTTTGGCCCAATCCTCCAATTTGTCTAGTCACTCTGGACCCTATCCCTACCCTCCAGTGTATCTACCTCTCCCCTTAGCTTAGTGTCATCTGCAAACTTGCTGAGGGTGCATCCAGATCATTAATGAAGATGTTGAACAAAATCGGCCCCAGGACCGACCTCTGGAGCACTCCACTTGATACCAGCTGCCAACTAAACATCGAGCTACCCGTTGAGCCTGACAATCTAGCCAGCTTTCTATCCACCTTATAGACCATTCACCCAATCCATACTTTTTTAACTTGCTGGCAAGAATACCGTAAGACTGTATCAAAAGCTTTGCTAAAGTCAAGATATATCACATCCACTGCTTACCCCATATCCACAGAGCCGGTTATCTCATCATAGAAGGCAATTGGGTTGGTCAGGCATGACTTGCCCTTGGTGAATCCTTGTTGACTGTTCCTGATCACCTTCCTCTCATCCAAGTGCTTCAAAATGGTTTCCTTGAGGACCTGCTCCATGATTTTTCCAGGGACTGGGGTGAAGTTTACCGATCTGTAGTTCCCCAGGTTCTCCTTCTTCTCTTTTTTAAAGATGGGCACTATATTTGCCTTTTTCCAAATACATCTCCTAACTCTTCCCTCACCTTAGTCCATGTCCTTCCTGAAGCTCATCTTCCGGGCAATGACAAGGAATGGTACAGCCACCAGAGAGGGTCTGGCCGGACTGCAGCGTGGCTGAGTTTTAGAATTCCGTTATAAGAATTTTCTTAGACAAGAAGAGGAAGGAACATAGGGAAGATATGGGGGAGAAGAGAGATTGTGAGAAGACAGGCAAGAATAGGAAGTCATGTGATCTCCTCCAGTAAAAACCCCTGTTGGGGAAAAGTTGGGGGAAGCAACAGGGCTGCAGATTTTAACATTTTGCCGTGGGGGGTGTAACTGGGTCAAAAGCAGGACCTTGAATCCAAACCCCTCTGAATACTGGGGTTGGGAGGTGAATTCAAATCCCCAGATTTAAATCAGGCATGATGATTTGGGATCTTGAAGGATTCTAAAATGCTTTACAAGCTACTATACAAACCCTCCAAAGAAATGATTTAATCCCCCATTGAAATGCAGCCATCTCTGTGATGGCAATTGATTAACAGCATACAGCAGGCACTGCTCAACAGTTTAGGACAGGAAGTGAAGATTCCATATCTAACTGAAACTGCAGAGGCAATTTAGGGAGGTAGAATGTAATCACCAGCTGTGACTTGGCCAGGACATGGGTTAACAGCCTTGTTCTTCCAAGAAGTGCCCTAGATTGTTAATGACCTCCGTGAGCAGAGTATCCCCTTACAGTAAGCGGGGGTATTGATTCAGAGGTTACCTACTGAATCACCAGTACTTGCAGCACTCCAAGGGCTGGTCCCCACTTAGTCTGGACTTCGGACTAAGGTACGCAAATTCAGCTACGTTAATAACGTAGCTGAATTCGAAGTACCTTAGTCCGGACTTACCGCGGTCCAGACGCGGCCGGAAGTCTCCCCCCGTCGACGCCGCGTACTCCTCTCGGCGAGCTGGAGTACCGGCGCCGACTGTGAGCACTTCCGGGATCGATTTATCGCGTCTTAACCAGACGCGATAAACCGATCCCAGAACATCGATGGCGTGCCTCCGGACCAGCCGGTAAGTGAAGACTAGGCCCAAGGATCAACGCAGCCTATCCTACAGGGTCATTTGTCCCATCATTGTCCTCTGAGATGATATGTGGCAGGAGTAACTATACACAGCAATTCTAGGACTGAACATGAAATTTTCCAAATATTTGGTGAATCAGAAAGTCCAAAAAAATCATTTTGGGTCAAACGAAACGTTTCATTTCAACAAGATCAAAAGGTTTCATTGCAATTTCAACCATTTAAAGTGTTTTTTTTTAAATCAAATAAAATTAAAGACAACTTTGAAACCAAAACTTTCAAACCAAAAAATCAACATGTTTTGTTTAGAAAAACATTTCTAACCAAAACATTTTGATTGTCTCTGATTTTTTTTCTTTTTGACTGGAACAATTTGGTGAAATTTCAGAGTCACCAAACCTACATTTTTTACTAAAAGAAAGTTTTGGACAAAAATGTTCACCCAGTTCTAGTGCAGTGCTTAATTTGTAATGAAAGAAGTGCTGGGGCTCAAGCAATTTTTTTTACATTCATAACTGACGCAGCGGGGCTATGAACGGGGTACTGGGCTCTGACAGCAGGCTCAGACACGAAAGAGAAAGCATATGAGTATGCTTGGCAGAATCCGATTTTTATTTCTTTATCATTTTGACAGAAAATCCGGGTGTTTATTTTTAAGCATTTTTGTTGATTTACATTGTCACAGTTGCGGGAAATAATGAGGAAGCTGTCAGGCAATAATTCTTTCCCGACAGGTAGACGTTGATGTGTATAATCCTTAAAACACCTAATCGCCAACATCCCACGGCAAAACAGACAAAGCGCTTGTCTTCATGATCGCGCTAAAGCGGAGCCGATGTAGCCTGTCTGGTGAAGACGCATCATGTTGACGGGAGAGCGCGCTCCCGTCTAAATAATTACTCAACGAGAGGCGGAAATGACGTTGGCAGGAGAGCGTCTCCCGCTGGCATATCGCAGTGTGGACACCGCTTTAAGTCAATGTAACTTATGTCGCGACGGGGGGTGGTTTTTTCACACCTCCGAGCAACGTAACTTTCAGGGCCGCCGAGAGTGGGTTCAGGCCCCGGTGAAAAAAAATTTTTGGGCCCCGTAGCAAGGGTGGACCGGCTAACCAGGCCGATGAAGCCGGGGAAGTCGGGCCCCCTTCCGGACCACCGGGCCCCACCTCTCATCGGCCCTGGTAACTTTTTAAGCGGTCGTGTCGACCAGCCCATAGTACATGTCCTTAAATCAAATGCCAATAAGTTCCGGACGGACACAGCCTTTTTCTGCCTGTACATCGCAATTATTATGAATGGAAATATTTTCCCTCCCGTTTTGGGCACGGGGAAAACAACCGTTACCAACATTTACCAGTAAAAAACTAATCCTTCCACGCGGGCGTGGCTGGGCACAGGCCTTGTTGGACAGGGCGAAGCTCTCCAGGGGTGTCCCTCTATTCACTCTAGTCCGCCTGTTTGGGGTCCCTGATTTCCTTTCCTCCGGGCGGGAGGAGGAGGGTGACCCATGATCGGGCCACTTCCCAGCCACCCCGCACTGAACCAACAGTGGGGGGCTCTGCTCCGGAGGGCGGTGCAGCGGGTGGGGGGTTTGGGGGCGTCTCTCCGGCTCTGGCTGGGGAGGAGCCCGGGGGCGGGCAGGGCGCGCAGGCGGCACGGCTGGGGAATGTCATTTGACACCATCTTAGCAACAAAGCCGCTGGCAGCTGCCGGGCTCCGTGCAGCAGCAGCGAGCGGCGCGGCGCGGCGGACCCGGATCATGCCGGGGGCTTGAGGGCTCGCCGGAGCCGGGGCGCGGATCCCCGCCGGGCCGGGGGCAGCTGGGACCCGAGCGAGCGATGCCGCGGCGCTGAGGAGCCCAGCGCGGGCGCTCCGGCGGCTGCAGCATGGAGGACGGGCTGGTGTCCGAGGAGGAGATCTGTGAGTGGGACCCGCCTCTGCCGCCCGGCGTCCCGGGGCTGCTCTGCCGGCGGGACGGGGGTGGGCGCCGGGGCGGTGGGATGGGAAACGGGGCATGGCTCCATGGAGCGTACGTGCGGACACGCACATGCACACTCAGCCAGCTCACACTCGTGTTCACACACAGACACCCTCAGCCAGCTCACACTCATGTTCACACACAGATACCCTCAGCAAGAGCACACAGATACAGAGACACACTCAGCCAGCTCACACTCATGTTCACACACAGACACCCTCAGCAAGAGCACACAGTTACAGAGACACACTCCGCCAGCTCACACTCGTGTTCACACACAGACACCCTCAGCAAGAGCACACAGTTACAGAGACACACACGTGAAATCAAATAAAAATGGGGTGGGGGGGAACCCATCATTAACAGGAAAGGCAAATATTTTTAAAATAAAACCCATTTGGAAGAGGATGGACTCTTTTACTCCTATGCAAACTATTGTTAGCTTTTAGGTGGGAAAGGGAACTTTGCCAAAGTTGAGACTCTGGAAATTACTTAAGAAACCTGCCCTTTGGGTTTCATTCATACATGAGTGAACATGAAAATAAGACCAGGGATTGCTGTGCGAGTGGTACCATTTTTATTTATTATTATTATGTTCCTGTTTGTCATTAGACTGTAGAAAATGGAAGTGAATTGTCATAATTTGTCAATCCATTCTTGAGGGTTTTCTATAGTATTTGAATGTGTCCCAGGTAAGTCAGGTTTGCGTGTTGAAGTCCCTAGGGATTTAGGATTTAGTTTTACAGAGCAGGAGTTTCCCTGCAGTTTCTATTTTGGCTGCTCTTTCAGAATGGCTCTTCAGACAGTTCTGGACCAAATTCTGCCCTCAGTTACGTCAGCATAAATCTGCACTGTTTCCTTTAGAGTCAAGAGTTTAGCTCACTGGGGTGAGTGAGGGCAATTTGGCCCACTGGGTGAAATCAGGGATGTTATTTTTTTAATATTTTATTTTTAGAGGAAACGTTAGAAAAACAGGCCCATTCTTATGGGCTCTGTAGAGCACCTTGTAGATACTGCGTGTTCCATGCATTATAAATAATGGTGACACTCCAAGTTACACTCAGGGTCTGGCTGAAAGCCACAAACCATTAGACAGGAAATTTGGAAGCAATGAAACTCAAATCTTAATTCACCCCTCTGTAGCACGTGGGAATTGCATACATCTTTTATATGGAATTGGATTGGTTTTGAGATCATTCTCAATGCATGAACAGTAAGGCAAGTGTGATTCGGACTGTAGTTTTAAATTTTCCTCACTCATATTACTAACATATTAGACGATTGAAACAGAATTTTAAGCATCTAATTTACTTTGCACAATTTCTTTGATTTCCTTACTTTTGCATTTCTCTCAGTTTGGCTACTGAAACGAAACTGGTCAGTTTTCATTTTTATTTATAATCAGTGTCAGCTTTTGGGTCTTAGGTCTCCAGTAAAGCAGGTGATGGTTTGAACTAAAGAAACCTCAGAAAATTCCATTCAGACGTAGGCTTTGTAAAATCTGGACAGGGATCTTTTCTGTTTTTTATTTTCTGTAAAGCATCATGCACTTCTGTGATGGTATATTTAATAACAATCGTCATCCTATTGTCATCACATCCTAATTTATGATCCCTCTAAGCCCAGCATGGAGTGATGATAACACTGCAAGGCTGAAGTAACAGCAATAAATGATCTTCTTTGTGTTCCATTGATTTAAATAAAACAAAGATCGTTATTTTAACGTTTGCCCACAACTTTCCTGTGCTGTTTTTCAAAATCTCTTGCCCAATAAGCTTTGTGCAAGTGCACTGATGTTAAATTGTTCAGATTATTTTGAGCATAGTTTGGGATAACAGAATTCATATTCCCGAGTTACTGAATTCTGGGGTGCAGTAGAATTTACGCTGATATACAGAAATGAACATCTGCAGCAGGGCACTCTATGTGTAATCAGTAGCATTAACAATTCATGTAAGCTACCCCCATCTTTCCAAGTAATGCTGGTATTGGCACTTTGGTGAAATGCCCATGTGGTATGGAAACAACTGCCTCATTGACATACCTGATCTAACAGGGTAGGGATAATCCTGCTTCTATGATGACTGAAGCCAGTGCCGAGACTCCCCTTGTCTTCAATGGGAGCAGCAGGGCCATCCCCTCCGGGATACTACTGTTCCACATTCAGCTTTGTGTTAATCGTGGCTCTGTTGATTTAAAATTTTGGCAAGGTTTATAATATAATCTAGAGAAAGAGAATATATATACACACACACCATATATATAGATGTACGCACACACTGTATATATAATATAAAATACACTATATATATTAATGTGTATATATAGTTAGCATGGGGACATTTTTAAAGCTGAAGCTCTCTTGCAGTTGGATTGTGTTAGCATTCACTATGCACCCTCCGCTGATGTAAAACAGCAGTGAAGTCAATGGAGCTACATCCATTTACAGCCATTGAGGATTCGGCCCAATATTTCTACCATTCAGGGCCGGCTCCAGGTTTTTTGCTGCCCCAAAGAGCCCCCAAAGGGCCGGAATGCCGCCCCTTACGAAGTACCGCCCCAAGCACATGCTTGGAACGCTGGTGCCGAGAGCCGGCCCAGCTACCATTATCATCTGCCTTTAAAATCCCCAGCGCTCAGCCATGCAGCAGATTTGTCAAAACCATCCATCCTGTTCCGCCATCTGCCCTGCTGTGCATCTCTTTGGCTTGACGGTCAGTTAAGCGAGATGGGGTTAGAGGGCAAGCTCCTTACACAGGGTATGATTCGTCCACGTTACATCCCCAAAAGCAGAGCTCTGAAGATCACGCTGCTTCATAAAAAAAGGCTTTTGTCGTGCCCCAAAATAAGCAAAACTAGAAAGCTGAAGTGCTTCGTATGCTAAATTGATTTGAACCAATTTCTGACACGTTTGTAGACGTTTCACTGGTAGGGCACTGTCTGTCTCTCTCATGTGTGACTTGGAAATCTCTCAAACTTTACCCTCACATGCTGTCAGACACTGAGTATTAGTTTGTAACACTGAAACTGGCCGGTTACTGTTTATTGCTTGTATTGCAGTAATGCCCAAAAGCGCCGATCAGGACCCCACTAGTTAAGTGCTGTACAAATGTATCAGACGACATCACCCCTGCCCCAAAGTGTTTATAATCTAATGTAAGATAAGTTGCTTTAATAAATAAATGGGAAGCAACTGGGAGGATGAAGGTAACCCTGTTAACCTACAGATACACTGGCTAGAGATTTCTTGCTGTTTTGTTGCTATTGGTTTCATTATATAATGGCATGTACATTTCCCCAGACTCCTGTTTTTATTGCATTCATTGTAAGGTTGATCATAGCTTTCTATAAGGCATTAAACTACATACTCTATTACACATGTAATAGTGACATATGGTAGTTGACGAATACAAATATTGCTTATCTGTAGTGTTTGACAACATCTGTTCTCTTACCTTTTCTGTTATATCACAGACAGCTATAGCCAACTGTTTAATGGACACAATAAAAGCAGGAATCCAAGAACTCTTATCCATCCACAGATATAGTGCTGTAAATGACAAGACAAAGAAACTTGCTGGTATTAAGAGCCGGGGATGAGTTTCTAGGTGACGCCTGAACAAATATTGACTAGAATGAATCATAAATGACATTGTCCATCTGAAATTCTGACATTCCCAACAACTAAGGAGCGTGCCTTGACAGTTAGTTATGAGCAAGGTATAAATTAGATTTTTCTATTTCCAAATGTGATGCCCAGTTATTCAAAGCAGGTCATGCCTGAGAAGTCCTAGGACAGAGGTAATTCCATGGCAGTCAGTAGGATCGCCTAGGAGAATAAGGATAATTTACCTGAGTAAGGGCTTCTGGGATCCCTCACTTGTGTGTTTATTCTAACTATTGTCTAGGATTCTCCCTTGACTATCACTTCAGGGCTCGCTGTTGGGACTATGCAGGATTGTCTAACCTCCTATTATTCTTTGGACAATGCCATTCAGAGAATTAGAAAGGTGGGCATTGCCGTCAAAGGTAAAGCAAGGACTAGAAATCCCCATTTGTATTTGAAAGCCAGAATGAGGCACATTCTAGGAGCAAAGAGGTATAATTCACGAACCACATGAAGACTCAAGAGCCGGTTAAAATCTGACCATGCTTGATTTGACTAACAGAAACGTTAGAAAACCCAACCTTTCGCCGGGTCTGTCAACACAGATCTTCCCAAAAGTTAAGCTGGACACAGAGTTAGTTACATGGTCCTTGTGCTGTGCAGATGCATCAGAGAATTCACACTTCCTTGGGTGGATTCTTGAATGGGCAAATACTGGCCTATCACATCCTTCATCTTCCTCTTTTCTTCTTGCTGACATGCATGTCCTGAGTCCGCTGTCCATTGTAAGAAGACAGGGGAAAGTAGGTGGAAAGACAGGGAAGAAAATGGTAACATCACACTAATTGTGATGGAAAACCTAGTCCCAAATTCAGGCTTAAACCCATTTGGAACAATGGTCCAGGTCTGGAGATGGAACACGTTCCCCCTGTCCAGGTGGGAGGAGGTACAGAGTGGAAGCTGATGCTCATGGCTCTGTCCCATTCGTGCTCAGCCGGCTAGCGGGACTTGAACAGTGCAGAGTTCAGGGAAAGGGGGTTTTGAGGGGAGGCTGCCGTACAATAGATTTGAGGTGGATTCCTTGTCCATCAATGTCAGAGGGGATGATCTGGCCTCTGACGAGGAAGTTCAGGAGGCAACATCTGCATCTGAAGTGAAAAAAGCGGCCCCCAGAAAACTGTGAATCCCAAATAGCAGAAGGATGGCAAGGTGGGCCGTTGAGACCATCACTCTATACTAAGCGTTTTCACTGTACTATTAAGGGGCAAAAGAAGAACAGTGCAGAGCGGCCAAGCTGGACCACAATCTGCTGAAACGGGTTTAGTGTCTGAATTA